TAATTTAAAAAAAAAAAAAAAAAGACCTTGTTTCGAGGATGTTTTAAACTGATAGAGAATAGAAATTAACTAATATGGAATAACCGTAAAAGTAGACATCCAGGCGAGGTTGCTTCCGTTTTTATTACTTTTCTATTTATTATAATCATTATTATTATTATTATTATTATTATTATTATTATTATCATCATTATTGTTGTTGTTATATAAAACAATAAGCAGAGGCGGATTTTCGAGTGCTTTTTAGGGCAACATTTTAAAAAGGCATGGGTCTTTAAAAAAATATTAAAATTCATGCTCGTGGTATTATCACATTCAGGGATATTGCTCAACATTATTGTGGTTTTAATTCGATTCGAAACGAAAAACAAGCAAAGAACACAGAAAAGAAAATTCCCCGAGAGGCAAAAATTCAAACATCTTGTAGTCAGCTGTACAGTTCGTTTATTTTAACACTTGCGCAAAATAAAACAGGGAAAAATGCTTAAGCAGACAGATATTTACACACAGATACAGAATAGGGATATATCAAAATATGAAATCATTAAAAATAGCTTGCTCCCTTCTGTGTTTGACCCCACAGTGACTAGGCCGAACGTAACAGGTCACAAATATGTGAGTCGCAAATATATGAAATATATGATCCAGTATTATTAACACTAATATTAATCATATGTATAATTTAGGCTACATATACAGTATGAGTATTAAACGTATACAACTATATTAAAATGCGTTTTAAAATTACTTTTATTACTGTATTTACTATAGTACAGTCTAACACATTAACACCTTTAACACAAGTTACATAGGTAGACGACAGTGACATTTTACCTACAGTATTATAAGTAGCATGTCTTTTTTCCAACTCAGTGCATCCCGAAATAAAACAGGTTGAATCGATAGTATAGTCTAAAGTCTATTTTTATGTTTTCCACTTGCGTGGCTACTCATCATCTTCCTCTTCCTCGTCGCCCCCGATTTGGTCAGCAGCAGGAGAGCAGTGGCCCATTGATTTGTTCTCTTTCTTCCATTTCATCCTTCTATTTTGAAACCAGATTTTTATCTGGCGTTCGGTCAAGCACAGGGCGTGTGCAATCTCAATACGCCGCCGTCGTGAAAGGTAACGGTTGAAGTGAAACTCTTTCTCCAACTCTAATGTCTGAAAGCGGGAATATGTCTGACGGCCTCTTTTCCGGTCCGCACCTGTGGAAATGCGAAAGGAGGATGAGAAAGCAACAAACATGAATATATGCATACCGACAACATTAGTAAGGAATAATATGAAGTGTTCAAATCTTTATCGGTAGTTAAAAAAAATAATAAATCAGTTCAGCCAGGGTGAATCCGCATTGGTGTGATGAAAACGAATGACTTATAATTCAATTAAAAATAATTTAAATATGATATAGCTAGTGATCGAAAAAACATTCAGATTTAAGGTAAAAACTTTACACTTCAATGAGTGAATGTAAAAAAAGAGATTCGACTTATTTTAGTATTTTCAGCAATATTGCACACTGGGGGGAAAAAAAGAGTCATCAAAACTCATGCTGCTGCTTGTAGGTGTATTATTGTCGTACCATAAACAAAGCGGCCAGTGATTATACAAACACATTTTCACAAATTGAGATTTGTGACTATAAATATTTAGAAGCGACTTTTTAGCTTTTTACAGAGGCGAAAAACCATCACATAACAAACAGTTATTAAGTCCTGAAACTTAAAAAAATTTAATAAAGCGTCCATCAAACTCAAACGTTTTAAATACTTCTAAATTATTTTTTGTATTTTTATTGCTTACATTTAGGTCACAAACTATAGTAAAAATAAAGCAAAACGAAACACACATATGTAATTTAAGCATGCGTTTGACCACTATTTAAGCATTACGTTTTAACTCTATATTAAGGTTAAGACACACAACAGTAGCTAATCATAGGTAAAATGTATTTTAAATATAAAAGTGGACTGTAATTCAAAAGCAAAATGAAAGTACACAAATACCCCTTCTGAAAGAAAATTCACAGGCTTGCACACTCCCGTGACACAAATGGAGCCCCGGCGTTCAGACTTCCTTCTAAACATGACCAAAGTCAACAACATGATCTAGTTCCCTTACACATAAGCGCTGAAGTGTTCGTCTATCCATCTAGATAAAGAAGCCATCTACTTAAAGTATCCATCTTTTATGCACGTTTAAAGAGAAGAAATCTATCTAGACTTTCACAACCTTGCCCATGCACGGTCAGTGACTTTCTGCTGTCCCTGCGTTTCCGTTTTCAGCAGACTGTGGACAAATGGGGACTGCTTTGAGTTCGTGGGCTTTTTGAACTTTTTTTATTGCACTCTTCAGTCGTTTGTATCTTACTTCCGTCTTGTCGGCAACACCGTGTCACTTCTTGTTGATACTAGTCGCACAAACTGTGCAAAAGCATAAAGAATTTGAGTGAAAAGCAGAAGCGATGAGAGAAATCGAGAGAATGAAATACAAGTTTAGTACTGAAATCCATAAAAATGATACAGCTGTTTCGTTCTTTAAGAGGTATAAATTAAGTGCATAAATTATGTGTCCTCGCAGAACGAATGCTTTTACACGAGTTAAAACAAGGAAGAGCATTGTACTCGGTCACTGTGCAGGGTCTCTGACGTACACAGGCTCCTGAATGATAGCGAGGGACAGAGACCATCTATGTGAAATATCAAAGCACGAAATCAACTGAAAAGGCAGCTGGCCCTATAGCCTAATAAAGACACAAAACCCAGTGGTTGGAGGTACAAGGCCCAGCATATGTGTCTGATGTGTAAAAATGTATGTGATTATATGTGTTTAGCCCATACTTGTTGAAAGGCCCGACTTCCTTCTATGCATCTGTCTACACCACTTTTGGCGTATCATAAGACCAAATATGTGGCCTTTACAGAAGACATGGCAGGACATCAGTGGACTAATCTGATCTTTCTTAAAATAATAAAATAAATAAATAAAATTATTGCAATACAGTTCCCCTATTTGAAAGAAACTTAATCGTGTTTGCAAACGAAATTAGGTCGATTGGCTGCGGATATTATTCAAATGAAAATGATTTAAAATGTCGTATCTCTCTGTACAACGACAGTAAGATAGGCTAACTATGACCCATGCATTATTTTTAAATGACATTGGCATTTCACACAAAACTACGACGCAGAACGAAAATGTATACACCAAAGGCGCGCAAGGACTATCTGCCAGTAAATGTAAACAACTTTGCTAATGAGGTATCCGTTTCAAAACTATTTATGTTGTTGTATTTTTACACTGGGAGCTAACAAGAGAAGAAGCGCCCCAGGTTGACAGTTGACTGATATGATCGTCTGTGCTCGTGGGGAGTGTCTTGAGAGGCCGCAGAAAATCATTAAAAGAGAACTTGTCGACCTCCTTTTCAAATACGTCAGCCGGGACGTGTGGTGGCTATGTGAGAAAAGTGCTATTCCTACGAAAAGTTGACGATTTGTTAAAAACCACTGTTGAGCGAATAATTAGTTGCGGAACTGGCTCGTATGTCTTGAGTCCTATGTTTTGTGAAATTTCCAACACACGCAGGCACATACATGCACAGCATATACATATATAAAACACAAACATGTCCACACACAGACACAGTTAAATTTCTGACAGTAATTTAAAACAAAGGTCGGCGCAGCTGTAGCATACCCTAGAAATACAAGGCCCCGCCCTCTATATCGAAAACATGAGGGTTTTTAACGCCAGTGATTGCCAACATACTAACTTAAAGATGGATTCATGTGTACACGCAGCAATGCAATCATAACACACAATCTCAGCAGAATCTTGGGTATTTGCTAAAGCTAAACATAATTCATCCAAACCTCTCATATGCCGTCCCCTCCCTTTTCCACAAACACTAACTACTACGTACTAGCGTGTCTTGAATTATGGCGACTAATTAGTCATAAAAAAGATCTGAGGAAAATAACACTTTTTGAAATGATTCGGTCGCTCCCCTTAACCTGTCTCCCTCCCCCTCCGACATAAAGACGCACACCCCTGTCCTTAAGAAACATTCAGTTTTCACAGACCTGTGCTCCTCATCCACGGATAGATTCGGAGGTTGTTTTCGTTGTTTTGATGGTAGCCCCTCTGCTCCTCTTTACCACTGCTTTGCGCTTTACAGAGATCGCCAGCGCTCACCATGGGTAGACTCGGATGGTCAAATAGAGAGCTGTGCATGTTCAACGAAACAGCTCCCAGCTCATACGCAGTGGGGTACATGCCTTGAGTCTGGCTGGAAAGGCTAGCACCGTTCGTGTACATGCTCGACAGGGAGACAGAAGATGTAGAGGAGACCGGTGCACCGGTAGAAGCCGAGCCGTAGCCGCTGGCCCGCTGCGAGCTGCAAGAAAAGGCGCAAGAAGTTTGCTCGGGAAACACGCCTGTAGAGAAGGCTGAACTCGCCACTTGGTATTTGGAAAACAACGCGTTTGCATAATACAATGAACTCATAATTTGAGAAGTGATTTATATGCCAAGAAGTTTTAGTGTCGGTTTTACGAGGTCCAATGATATATTACAGAATTACAGTCTAGATTTACACCAAAAATCACCCCTTTTTCCTCTGGGGCCACGTGATGGGCAGCACGTGATGAAATATCATCCAATGGGTGTGCGTCTTCCCAGAGCACCGTCTAATGTGGAGAAAGGCTTTGCAGCTGACCATCCACATAAATTTGTTAAATTATTCACTTACAGCCAACGGTATCTACAGTCAACACAAACGCACAGGAGAACATACAAATTGAGAAGGTTTCTGTAATCACCTAAATCCGTGCCAAGCAATAAACAATTGTGGGTTGTACAAACTTATAAATGAGTTCAGGTTGTCCAGATTTAGGAACGTGCCTCCTGTTTGAGAGGCCACCACACAAATAACAAGAAACCTATTTATTTCTGTATTGATTTTCAACACTATTTTCTCTTGTCACCGCTCCTGCGCATACCCCAATTTCATTACTGCATTTTTTGCAATGTCTGTACAGTGTGCCCGTGTCAAGAGCATGATGGCCCTTACTAGTTTCTGCTTTAAAACATCCCTATAGCTTGAACAGTCACCGTCAACTAGCCATTTCCATGGCGACGGACTGGTTCAGTGCACACCAAACAGTTTCCCTGTACATAGTTAGCAAACATGTTCACGCCAGAGCTCTGAATCTTGTCGTGGAACTTACTCTCTCTGAATGTTTGAGAAGCCCCCATACTCTTACGACAGTAATTCACCTGACACGATGTGCTCCCATAACTCAAATACCCACATTTAACAAAAACCAGCAAGATGAAATTTCATTTTAAGATATTTTTTTATGTAGATTCACGATAATACATAGTCTGTTTATGTTTAGTGGGGTGTTATATCGTGTTGTGTTACAGTGTTGGTCTGATAAAGTAGTTATGAGGGTTTTCAGTTGTGGTTTCACATGCCGCCTCTCTTTTAGTTCACGTATCTAACTATATATCAAACATCAGACCACACTACATGACTTTTCTGTGAGATTTACAAATGTGTAAACATTAATTTTATTGTGCTATTCAATGTTTGCGCTTTTATGGATTCTTTGAAATTAAGGCCTATGTTTTAACATAAACAACATCTTGTCTGGTAACCTAAAAGTTTTTGATTTGAAGCGGACCTTGGAACCGCACATTAACCACGAGTTTTCGTTTTTATTTGGCGTATTATTTATACGCACTTTCATGCGAGGATACATGGTGCCAGGGACCGTCGCTTGTAAACTTTATTGTGTCCACTTTCTGCCGGATTCCTCCAGTTTTAGACACTAGAATACGGTCAAGAATGACAACAAAACATATAGTCATCTACTTCAGTAAAGGTGAAGGACAACAATTGGATTCATAGTAAACATGGGTCACATTACATAATTTTCAAAATTATTTTTTATTATGTTTATTCATTTTTATAATCCACTGTGCGCATGCTTACCCCATGAAAGGAAGACAACAAAAATACCATCGATTTAAGAAGAACCAAAGACGTGTAAAAAGAGATTCTACGGCATAAATAGGCAGTTTCATGTTGTTGGAAGTCATTCATTTCTACGTCATCATCATAACATGTAAGTGAGAACAGTTAAAAGTGCACCATTTAACTTAAAAACTATACAGCTGCCAAGGTAATTGTTAATGACAATATCCTAACAATAGAAACTTAAGTTTCACGATAATTATTTCACAAAGAAAGGAGACTAGTTTTATCACTATCATACTCTCTGAACAACAGTTAAAAAGTAGAAATGCCTCTTGTCCTTCGTCTTCCTGAAGTTCTGTGGTCACCACATTAAGTGTATAGTCATTCGTCTAGTCCCAGTAATTTTTTTTTCTGTTCCTTCCTCGAATGAAAGATGTAACCACTCGACTTGATTAAAATGTCTCTGTGAGACAAACCTCCCATGCAAACACCGTTATTCTCTTCGTCATTGTCCTGTTTTATTTTCCCTATTTATTCTTTGCCTTTTTGATTGACTGACACACGTACACACAAACACACACACTCTCTCTCTCACACACACAGACACACACACTCGCATCCGCTTTACATTTCTTTTGCCTTGTCGCAGTCTTCGCCAGCTGGCTGTGTTCCGGATGCCTGTTCTTTCTCCAGTTTCTCTTTTTCGATCTGCTCTTGTTCAGACTTGCTGCTTGGAAACTTGTCCTTGTTGTTTTCTTTTTTCCATTTCATGCGACGGTTTTGAAACCAGATTTTGACCTGTCGTTCTGTCAGTCCCAAAGCGTGTGATACCTCAATCCGCCGCTTGCGTGTTAGATAGGGATTGAAGAGAAACTCTTTCTCGAGTTCCAGCGTCTGATAGCGGCTGTAGGTCTGGCGTCCTCGCCTCCGTCCGGCAGCTACTGGCAGAAGTTTACAGATGTTAGACAGAGCTCACAATACGCGCCAAATCGTAATTTTACAATCAAGTTCAAACATATTCTTGAACCAACATTCCACAAAGGCAACTTCCACGCAAAACGAACGTCTACAGTACATAGGCTAATCGCGATACATTATTAGTTTATGGGTAGGCTATTAGTGTACCATGGAGACTCCCCACAGCCTAACACAGTAATTAATGTAAAAGCTCCGCCATTACAAATATAAGTACCACGACACTAATACACAGAAATGAGCAACACTAACCCTGCAGTATAGAGTCGTCAAAAAGCAGTCTATACTATTTCACATGTTCAAAGGATTAGGCACAGCCATAAATGACATAATCATTGTGAAATGACCACTGTGTAGTGAAATAAACTCAGGGCTCACTGTAAGTCGTTAAAGGCTGCAGTAAAACTTTGACCTGGGTGAGAAGTGAGAGATCAGCTGTGGGGCAAAGTCTCACACATGGAAACAGCAAGAAGAGAAGGGGCTTTTCTCTCGCCCTCTTCTTCCTCTCTCCCACTCTCCTGTCTTTCTATGGCAGGGTCATTAAACTGTAAAGTGATTCACAAGTTTTGAACACCATAAAACAATAAAAACGGCTATTGCCACCCCACCCCCCTCGTGCACACAGGAAATGCAATTCTAAACCTAAACTGCACTGAGATTTTTTTCGTGTGGCTAACCCAGGTTTATGTCACTTCAACAAACACACACAGCGCGAGTTGGCCGGCTTTTCTGTCTACCGAGGCTCACCTTGAGGTCGCATCCACGGGAACAGCTGTGTGGGCGACGGACTCTGCTCTGTGTTGTCCGTCTCGTCGCCGATGCCCCCCGCGGCGAGCTTGCAGTCGCTATACTGAACCAAGTCGGCGTCTTGAGCACCGAAAAGCGTTTGCCTCTGGAGAGCATCATAACCGTAGAAGTTACCCGGCTCGCCGTGACAAGTTACTGCACAGGGACTCTGCTGGTAAGGAGATGCAGAGAGCGTGGATGCGCCGTGGTGGTAAAACTCTTGAATCTGAGGGGCATGCTGGAAAGTGGCCCCGGTGCCTGGACCGTACACGACGGTGGGTCTCGTCCCTAGGTCCTGAGCAAATCCGCACTCGTAATAGTTTGGCCGCAGAGTGTCTCCACTTTTGTATTTAGTGAAGAGAGAGTTGACGAAATATGAGCTCATCTTTTGATGTTGTTGTTGGTGCTGATTTTGTTCAAGAGTTTGCGTTTGAATGTCTTTATATCAGCGCAGTAGCTTCAGAGAGTTATCAGTTTCACAGTTACTGAGGTAACAAACAATGCAGCAGCCAAGCCTTGATTTCCAAAAACTGAACGGTTTGCGTTTGTATACCTTTGTTAAAACAACTTAGCTAAAGCTTCCATAGGCATGTTCCACTGTAGAGTTCCAGCATCACAATTCCAGTGAAGGGTGACAGTTCCCAACCAGTTTTTCTATGATTTACTCGGCTGCAAAAGAGAAGTTTCATATTTTGCTGTGTGTTTTCACGATCATTTGCATCTTCTATCGGATCTTCGTTCCATTGGCTTCTCGCATCCCTACACGGACACCGCTCTGCGCGATTCTGATATGAAGGGAGTGAGTGAATGAAAAAGAGAGAAAAAGAGAAAGCGAGGGAGAGAGAGCGCGAGGGAGCAGGAGAGGGAAGGGGGGCCAAGGGAGAGAGAGGAGGGGAGAATATGCACATTAATATGTTCAAGCGGGTAAGTTAATGAGAAATCTGCCGTTTTGCAGTTTGAAAGATTGATTTTTGCATGTTCATCACAGACAACCTAAAGTGCATATTTACCCGTTAATTTCCAAATCTCTAACGAGGTCGAGTCTCCTTTTTTAAATGTCAGGGTCCAGACGGCCAATTTTAAAAGGTACACGATTTAATTGGCATCAGTTTAAATACATCCTATAAACCTTATAAGAACGCTTAAACTTACAAAATCATCCTCTGCAGCGACCAAGGCGCGCGCATCGAAAATAAGCGAGGTGGTCATATTTAATATTCTGATAGGCCTAATTGTATTTATATAAATATATTTACAGAGATATGATGATGTTGGAATGGACCTGCACGTCAGGTGCAATGGCAAATATGGTTGTAAATGGTTTAACAAACTATAAAATGCAATAAACGCCCCTACTGTTTGTTGTTGACGTAGAGCATCAAAAAGCTGTTAGGTTTTTATGAGGTTCTACGACCGGTGCTGTAAATGTTTTACTCCGGATTTTATCCATGCAGATATATTAAGTTCTTTAATTGTCATTTTCGTTTTGTTTTTCATACAGTCTGCCATTGTGTTTAGCATGAGTAAATCTGATTAACATTACCTAGAAAATCCGAGGGGTGAAAAGTACCTTGCATGGAATTTTCTAATGGTAAAAAAATCAAAAATCAGTAAATTAATTAATTAAAATGAATGAGTAAACAAACAATATATTTTACGTGCTTGTAGCCATTTAAAAATCTTTCTGGATTCGTTTTGATTTGGGATGAAAATATTGAATTCTAATTACAAAATGATTATAGAATTATATAACTTTTCATATTTTCTAAAAATTGAAGATTTTGTCATTTATTATGTGTAACAACCAATATTTGTATTTGTCATTTGTAAGCATACACTGAATTAAAATGCTCACCTAAAGCACAAAAAAGGTCTCTATTTTTTAAATCTGCATGACACATATGCTGTTGGTGCTTGTCATTTTACAACTTCATTTGCATCTGTAATAAATTACTGCTGTGTCTCTCCCCAAATCATTACCTCAATGTGACGAATCCTTTTGAAGCTTTATGTTGACTAGCTATATGAATAGTCATACGGAATATTTACATTTCAACACGTGAGTTATGCTCAATGTTAATGTTTCTATATTACGAGTTAGTCTTAAGCGGTAGTCACGCACATCTTGTTCTACACTTAAACGTTTATCTCTTAACAAGGACAAGGAGTTCACCAAGCGTGAATCTCTCCGTTTGACCAAAGCTTATTATTCGGCTTTAGTCAAACCTAGAATTTCGCATGCTAAATTCTGATGTAAAAGTAAAAATATAATGCATAAGCATGACAAGCATTCTATTGTAAATATTTTCTGTAATTTTGCATTCATAAATGTGTCGGTATATAGTGAATCTAATAATGAATTGAATGGTGTCAGAGAACGTCATACTATTATATGTTTTTGTTTGTTTGTTTGTTTGTGTGTTTCTTTTTTGTGTACAATTTCTTGAATCACTGCAATAGCGGTAGTCAAGTGATGTGTTTTTTTGCTGTCAATAAAACATTTGCTAACCCAAGTTTTGTGTGGTGACTTTATAACTTATGCTACTTAATCATATAATCGTCCTATTACCATTTTAAACAATCACTGAATCATCACATCTCTAAATGTTTGGGTCTCATGATGGATGCAGATAATAAAGTACACTGATTCAATTTATTTTAAAATTGCTCTAATAGCCTAGTTTCTAATAAGCCGAGCTGAAATCTTTTAATAATCTATTTTATTAAGATTAAATGTTTAAACAGAATTAGCTACAAAAATGTATTATTGATTATGATATATTTTTGTATCCTAACATTTAAAGATACATTTATTAGATAAAAAAGGTAAAAAGGGTCTACTTGTTTCTCAAGATCTTTATCACTTAGATTGAAGAATCCTCTGAAGTTAATGTTCTTCGTCTCTTTCAAAAGCTCCGCTGTAACAGGGGGAAATTGTGTGAACCTTGCTTTAGTCAAGTGTAATACCGCACGTCTGCAAATGTTTTGGCCCCAGTGTTTCCGGTTTGGGGGTGGAGGATGGCCAGCCAGTCACTTTTTGATGGAACAACATTGCCATCAAGCGGCAATTGTGTGTTACTCCATGAGCAAATGCAGCTGTAATGAGACGGAAGTTCAAAAGCTAATGGTTCTATAAACAACGGACATAAAAACAGAATGAGCGAATTAACAGCTCAGTAAGTGCAAATTCAATGATGTTAAGTACTTATTTTCATTCTCTATAACAAGAAATCCATTTAAAACCGACCCTTGTATGATCTAGTCTTGTGTGTTTTTCATCATATCTAGAAAAGTAATTTACATAGGGTTGTAACCCTAACACTAACGTTAAACCATAAAAAAAAAACAATGAAAGAACGTTTTACTTCTGTCTTACTAGTATTTTGTTAATATTTTAAACAGTGTTAACCCTAAAATTTACAATAAGACTCAATAGAATTCCGTCCGTGATATGCAATTTTTATTTGGGTTACACTCTTTTTATTTTAATGTACAACTACTACTATTACCGCTATTAATAGTACCATCACTAAACCTACTAATAACAACAACGGGCTTAATAATAATAGGCCTACGCTGGTGCTAGCGGCCTCGTATTATATTTAATTAGCCTACATGCACACTGTTAGAAAAAAAATATTCAGTCCACGAAATAACATTTCCATGCATAATACTTACTTCTCCTTTTTCATTTGGGGTACGTTCTTGTGTATTATTATATCACAAGCATCACAAAAATACTACTAGTAATCAACATCACCATTATCATGTTGCCTTTCCTTTTGATAGTTGTCGATACTGACAGTCTTTAAGCTTCTGATCATGGAGTTCAATTACAGAGATTCATTTTTTTTTTTTTTTTTTTTTT